CCTTCTGTGTACAGCCAGGTGTTTCTCTGTGTTTATAAAGTAGTCATGATGACCTGGATCACTGTTAGATTAATGAGTTTTCTTCCTAATTATCTACATGACGACTAAATCGGTCAATGCATCTATTAATTACAATACAGCTTCAGTTTATCATATAGTTGTTTGCACAATTTCCATGTTCTGCTACTGATAATTGGATACTAATGTTCTAAAAGATAACAATTTATTTATAAACAATAAAGAACAACTTGACAACATCCTCATTTCAATGCAGTGATGACTGCATACTTTTGCACGTAAAGGCTAGGATATTATGACTTTTTTAACGTAGTATGACTTTAATCTCGTAATATTACGATATTACTCTCATAATATTATGACTTTATTCTCATAATAGTATGACTTATACAACTTTAGTTGTAATATTATGACTTTTTTCTCGTGGTTGTGACTTTATTCTTATAATACTTTATTCCCATAACTTGTAGTTGCATTTTCTTTTATTTAACATCTTAATGCAGCATAAATTTCATCAGCTAAGTTGCTAAACTTACTTTTAAAAACAAATTCTTCGGTCCGTGGTGAATTTCCAAACTACGCCAACTCATTTAAAAAAAATAAAAACTCCACCGTCTTCATTTCTCTGTTTTATTTTCCTGCCCGTGCATTGAATTCTGGGATATCCTCGGCTGGTGAGGATACACGGATGTATCCTTGGATTTCGAGAGTTTGTCGGCTGCGTTCCTCGGCTGCGTGATGAGGAGCCTTCAAATTGGGACAGTCCTCCTCCACGCAGGGCAGTGATGTATTCAGCTCACAAATGCGCACTTATGAGGACGCAGCCCCTGAATTGAGACACAACCTCATAGTTCAAAGCCCGAGCAGAGAGGAAAGTGGAGAACTTTACTGTGGTATTCAGACTGTTCTAATCATTCACTTCAAACTTTACTGCATAATACAGTTTTTATTTTCTGAATACAGTAGAAAAGGTTTGAACTGCTGCTTCTGGATTTTAAGGATGTCTCTAAATCAGTCCATTCATCTTCACCTGCTTCTTTTTTTCTGAGTCGCTGGGGTCACTTGTGCTCGTGTTCAACAGGCAATGGACGCCCCGAGTCCGTCACAGTTTCTAAATCAAGAATTCCTTATTTTACTTTCCTCTCAGAATGGCTCCACCCCCTCTGTTCAGAGGGTAAGTTTGTCAGCTTTACACTTTGATTTGATTTGATTGGTCTTTTTTTTTTTCTGTCATTTCTTTCAGGCACTGATTAAGTTCAAGAGCTACCTGTATTTTGAGGAGAAAGACTACGTGGACAAAGCAGAAAAAAGCCTGAAACCAATAGGCCATAGCAGGGTCAGAATGCCTATTTTTAAAAGTCAAATGCAGTTCTAGAAACTTCTTGCTGCTGTTTAATCAACAGTCCTGTGTTACAGATGGTGTTCTATAAAAACGGAGTGAACCAAGGGGTTGCGTTTGAAAACCTGTTTGAAGGCATCTACTTTCCTGCTATCTCCCTGTACAAGAGCTGCACAGTCAGTACACACCCTGACGGGGATATTTACCAGCTTTTACTTTTATTAGACTGATCAAATTTGAGCCGCTTTCTCCTCAGGTTTCTGTCAACTTTGGGCCACATTTCAAATTCCCACCAAAGGACATCAAGTACCAGCCGGTGAGAGCTTCTCTCCTTACAGAGCCGTGCAGCGTTTGAGCGGTCAGCTCTCAATGGTTCTCCTTGTACTCCCGACAGATGAGCGACATGGGGTGGGGAGCAGTGATCGAACATACGCTGGCTGACACGTTGTACCACGTGGAGACGGAGGTGGACGGACGGCGCAGCCCCCCGTGGGAAGGATGAAGACCCTGCTCCACATCCACGTTGTTCCACCTTCAAGCAATAAGCTGTAAACAGTTCTGCTGTGAAGGGAAGGTGAAAGAAACAGCATTTCAGCTTTTGTGATAATAAATGTTGGACAAACTGGAAGTTTAGACCTCACTAAAACGATTTTGTCATGCTAAGAACAGTTGACTGTCCACAGAGATAGTTTTAAGCCCCAAAAGTTCCATTCCTCCAAGAAAATGAACCCTAACTGAGCTGATCTTTGATGCTTATTGATGCTTGTTGCTGGTTTTAAATGTGTCGACTACAGTTTAACACATTTAATGTGTTGCGTTCCACTCATTTACACTCAGTCTCTCTGCAGGTCTTTAGTGTTGTCTGTTTTTTTATTATTATTATTTTATTTGTTTAACAAATTGTTAGTTACAGTTTTATACTCTGGATTAAAT